AGGCCTTACAGAAAATGATAAAATGATCAATAGGTTATATTACCACAGTGGTGCCAAGTGATCACCCACCAGAAACTCCATGCAGGGCAGCGATCTTATAAATGTCCTTATTGTGACAAAGGATTTTGCGATAGCTCTATCCAGATGAAACACAAGAGATGCCACACTGGAGAGATGGTGAATAAGTGGGGGGATCGTGGGTTGACCTTTGGGCCAAGAGACTAGCTTCTGGAACATCCGGCATTCCATGGAGGTGTCAACAAGGACTATCATATAGGCCAGTGTTTGAGAACCCTGACGGCTTTAAGATGGGTGGACTTCAACTCCCAGAATTCCCTAGCCAGCACACTCGTCTTATGGGGGAATTCTGGAAGTTGGAAGTCCACCGATCTTAAAGTTGTCAAGGTTGACAAAAACTGGCCAAGACATAGACTAGCTTCCTAGAACCTTACATAGAATACTTATTCTCCATGAAAAATTGGACTACATCCATTGACCACCTCTGTAGATTTATCTTCATTCTTGATCATGTGCTTACAGTGTTGGTTAGCCTTGAGGCCTTTATCCCTTCCATTACCATGAGAGGAAATGGGTGGGAAGGCAGATGAGCCTGGGATGAACATGGCTGCTGGAATGATGGGTAATGCAGATATGTCTTTTTGAAGCTGGGAATTCAGAGTGATTCCCACATTTGGCATTTCCATGAGGAAGGAAGTTTCCCCATCATTCTTAAGTAGCAGGGGTGTTTGAGGCTAGAGAAACAATTCAGGTGGGAAGGCGGATAAATGTGACATAAACGCAAGGAAATTTCTGCAGAAATAGATACTCTACTCTTTCTTCTGTGTTAACATTAGAAGAATATACAATTTTCTCATCCCTTTGATTCTACCCACACATGTATTATACATACGTGCATTGCACTTCTCCCAGATAATGTCTGACAGTGTTTCTTAACCTTAAGAACTTTAAGTGTTTTGAACTTCGACTCTCAGAATTCCCCAGTCAGCATTGGGGAATCCTGGGAGTTGACCACCCAGCTTAAAATTGCCAAGGATAAGAAATTGGTCCCTAATTGTCAGAATATTCATGAACTGGCAGAGACATGGTAACAAGGTCAGCCAATGGGAGCTGAATTAGAAACTGAAACTTAAAGAGAGTCTGGGCGTGGCTTATCTCTGCTCTCTGCTCCAAGCTTTGAAGCTACTGCTTGTGTTTTGCTTGTGTTACTTTGGAAGAATCTACTATTGGTATTGTACATTTTACTCATATATTATTATATATATAGTTAATGAATCCTGCTGAATCAGTCGTCTATGTGTGCTTTCTGGATTTGATTTCTACAATAAACTCTAAAACTAATGACCAAAATATTGTCCACATCACAAGCTAATACTATTTTTTTCAGGTGCAGTAATAGTCAACTGCAGAATAAATATGGAGACATCAGAGACAGATAAAATACAACTACCAGCCAATTGTAGCCCCCACCTAATTGTGGAGGAACAGGAGGTGAGGAGCATTCTGAGGGCTGTGGACCCTAGAAAGGCTGCCGGTCCTGACAGTATCTCTGGCCAAGTGCTTAAAGACTGTGCTGATCAGTTGACTGGAGTCTTTACCAGGATCTTCAATCGGTCTTTATCCAGGGGTGGGATTCCACCAGTTCTCCCCTATTTGCTAGAACCGGTTGTTAACATTCTAAGCAGTTCGGAGAACCGGTTGTTAGAAGAAATTACTGGCCTAATCCTGTAAGGAAGGCAGAAGGAAACATTCTGGTATTGCTTACAGAAACTGCCTTTCCGTTAACCCTTATTACATTCTTGGCAGGACTAGACATCCTGTCTCAGGAACGTCTCTGGAGTTTTTCCCCCCTCCTTTGCTGGCACTTTGCTTGTGTGGAGTGACCATTCAAAGTTATATGACCACCAAGCCACACCCACCAACTAAGCCACACCCACCAACTAAGCCACACCCACAGAACCGATTGTTAAAAAATTTGAATCCTACCCCATCTTTATCCCAGTCCACTATTCCATCTTGTTTGAAGCTTCCACCATTGTTCCTCTGCCAAAGAAGTTCCCTATCAATAACCTCAACGATTACAGACCAGTGGCATTCACTCCTATCATCATGAAGTGCTTTGAGAAATTGGTCTGCTAGCACATCATTTCTGGTTTTCCGCATACATTTGATAAACACCAGTTTGCATACAGAAAAATTAGATCTACAGAGGATGCTATAGCCATCACTCTTCGCACTGCTCTGACTCATCTAGAACAGCGGGGGGGGGGGCGCTATGTGAGGATGCTTTTTGTGGATTTTAGTTCTGCATTTAACACAATTTTTCCACATAGACTAGTGTCTAAACTTCTGGACCTTGGCCTTTCTTATTCAATCTGCCTTTGGGTTATGGATTTCCTGACTGGCCGCTCACAGAGGGTCAGATTAGGTAATCATACCTTTTCAGCCCTTATTCTTAACCCTGGTACACCACAGGGTTGCGTGTTGAGTCCCTTACTCTATACTCTTTATGTGCATGACTGCATTCCCACTCACGTGAGTAATACTATTGCTAAATTTGCAGATGATACAACAGTGGTGGGACTTATCTCCAGCGGAGCTGAGTCTGCCTATCAAGATGAGGTGGACTGGTTGCTTTCGTGGTGTGGAGACAACAACTTGGTCCTCAACACCAATAAGACCAAGGAGCTTATAGTGGATTATAGAAGGAACAGATCAGACATCCAGTCCTTGCTTATCAATGGAGACTGAGTGGAGCAAGTGGCCAGTTTTAAGTTTCTGGGTGTTACCAGAAAAGAGGACCTGACCTGGGGTGCTCACATTGCAACACTGGTCAAAAGGGCCCAGCAGAGATTATACTACCCGAGGCTTCTCAGAAAACAATGAAATGAATGAAAAACTGCTGGTGACCTTCTACCGCTGCACCATAGAGAGCATTTTAACATACTGCACCTCTGTATAGTTTGCCAATTGCACAGTGGCAGATAGGAAAGCACTCCAGAGGGTTAATGTCATTGCCCAGAAGATCATTGGTTGCCCTCTCCCCTCTTTGGAAGAGCTTTATAGCTCCCGCTGCCTTAAGAAAGCTCAGAACATTCTCAAAGATCCATCTCATCCTGGGCACCCTTTTTTTTTTTTTAACTCTTACCATCTGGCAGACGGTACAGAATAATAAAAACAAGGACAAATAGGCTGAAAAACAGCTTTTATCCCAGGGCAGTAGCTCTTTTGAATTCTGCTATATAGTGCAGTGTTGGTGCATTGTCGGGGGTTTTCAGTTCAATGTGTGGAGGGTGAAGGATGTGTGTTGTGTTTATTTTCATGGTCATGATGTGCACTGAAGATGATGTTTGATTTCATTGTATGAGGTGCAATGACAATGAAGTAAACTAAAACAGACTAAATGACTAATATCTTTTCTGTGTAATATTTGAGGAATGTATGACTTGCCCATCTCTCTATCCCACACACTTTGTGTTATAAATTCCTACTCTGTACTTCCCCAAATGGTCACTGATGACCAAAAAGTTGCCCACACAACAGCCTAATCATTATTCTTTTAAGGCACAGCATTAGTTAAATCACTGCACATCAAACAAGGAACTGGATCCAATCTGGCTTGGTCATTGGGCAAGAGGTTTAGTCTTCGGAGCTTTTGGATTCACGATGGAAGTGAAAGTTCCTCAGGGAACTCCTCTCTCACCAGGACGTGTCTGGTGAGGCACATATCCTGGAATACGCATATTTGCCTTCATTCATAGGGAATTAGAAGTGAAAATAAGGCACTTCAGTCTTCCGAACCTTATTTAGTTTAGTTCCTCCACAATGAAGTGGGGGCTACAATTGGCTGCTAATTGTATTTTATCTGTCTCTGATGTCTCCACTTCAAAGCGAGCAAAGAAATGATTCAGTTCCTCTGCCAATGAAGCATCCCCCTCAGCAGGGATGACATTTGTCGGTTGATGGTTTATAATTTGTTGAATCCCTCGCCACACCTGCCTCATGTTATTGCTAGAAAAATTATCCTCAATCTTCCTCTTATAATCAGTCTTGGCCTTCCGAATACCTTTCTTCAGATTAGCTCTGGCAACACTGTATCTTGCCCCATCACCGGACCTAAAGGCCTTGGTCCTGTCACGCAAGAGGCGCTGGACTTCCTTGGTCACCCAGGGTTTTTGATTGGGATAGACCCTAATACGTTTATCCACAGTGATAGTATCTGTGCAGTGTTTGATATAGCACAGAACAGTTGCAGTGTGCTCCTCTAGGTCAGGGTGGTAAAAGATGGTTGTGTTCTCAAAACAATCCTGAAGTTGTTGGGAAGCATCTTCTGGCGAAGATTTCACTGTCTTTATTATAGGCAGAGCCCTTCTCCTAAGAGGGATGTACGCTGGTGCTAAAAGCAGTGACATATAGTCTCATTGCCCCAAATGTGGTAATTGTATAACTTTATAGCCATGTTTGATGTTGGTATATACTTTGTGCAATATGTTTGCTCCTCTAGTAGCACACTTAACATGCTGATAGAATTTAGGGAGCACTTCTTTTAAATCAGCTTGATTGAAGTCCCCCGCTATGATATGCACAGCACCAGGATACTTATTTTGCTGATTACTTACAATGTTATACAAGAATCCCAAAGCTATGGTAGCATTGGCATCAGGTGGGACATAGGCTGCAGTAATCAAAACCACGCTGAATTCCCGCGGAAGATATATGGGTCTACATTTAAGAGTCATATACTCCAGATCCATGGAGCAGTGGCTGTCTACAGTCTTTGTATTGATACTATACATTATAATTATATTATAATTAATGATATTATTAATGATATTATAAAGACATTGTTAGCTCAAAAGACAATAAACCTGATTCTAATTGCTTGGTTTTTTTTTAATTAAGTGAATTTTATTACATAATACAGCAGTGAGCAGGTAAAAAGTTGGCATAAAAAACGGAGTGGCAGAAGGAATAGCCGTGCTCTTTAAACCCGGCCAAGTCGTATTATAATAAAAGCCGCCATGGGGATTTACACAATAAGGTTTTAAAAAATGGCCCTGATGCAGCCTAATGGCGAACTGTGACATATTCTCCTTCCCTGCTTTCTCTACGGGGTAATTTATTTTAAATAAAAGAAGGACTGTCATCATTTGTGGCATTTTTTTCAAGGGGGAAAAAAAACTGAAGACGCAAGTGCGGGGGAGGGGTGAATAGAAGATGTTGTATCCTTTTTTCCCCTGTATTAGCTGGTCCCTTATCAAAAGTTCCTTCAAGGAAGTCCAACAGGCCATAAACCACAGAGCTCCACATCAGGCCACAAGGAGACAAAAATAACCTACAGCAGGGCCAATGCACAACTTGCATCCTGGTTATCTGACGCAAATGCATAAACTGCAGCATCACACAACCATGTATGTTTTGTCAGTCTCCCCACTGTTGACAAAGGCTCTTGTGCCACCAACTTCCTTGGAAATATCGACACCCCTCTCCTCTCCTATCCCAACTCACAAAGGAGTCACTCAATGCATCAAAGTCCATAAACTAAGTTGGAAAACTCCAGACATTCCTGAGCATCTTCTTAGCATCTCTTTCTGTTGGCAGGCGCTTCTGGGAGTTGTTTGGATGGTCGCAGTTCTGTATCCATACACGATAAAAATAGAGGTCGGCTAAGGAGTTACTGTTGATCTTTGGTTACAATGGAATTAATTTGGGGGTTGAGATCAAGAGGTCTTTGAGACAGATCTGGATGGAGTCACTGCTCTCCACAAATTAAATACCAGGATAAAAATATCCAGATGTTCCAAAGAATTTTGGATGTGATTAGGCTGGCTCCCACCAAGATAGCTTTATGGTTTAGAAGAGCTGTAGGGCAGAGCTCTCAACCCCCAGGCCTCCAACCCATAAACCTGGACCTAGGGGTAAAAACACCAGAGATGTGGTTCCATCACATCCTGGTCTCCTGAGGACTTCACCAGCTGATCTTGGAGATGTGGCTTAAGGCAGGGCCTCCTGTCAGAAGTGCTGGTGCTGGAGTAGGGAATGGGGGCTTAAAAGTGGCCTGGGATGGGGTGGGAGATAACGCTGGGCTGGCTCCTGAGAAGAGCAGGAGGAGCAGATCCGACTTGCTTCCTTTGTTGCTTGCTTGCGAGTAGCTCTGATCTACAGGCGTGGTTTTTGGCAATGGTGGATGGGCTCCCAGGTTGAGCCCCTTAAGGCACAGGTATTTCCCCCCCCTCATGCGTGGCAGTGGGTGCGGCTCGTTCAAAAGCCGACGATGCCCCCCCCTTTCCCACGCCATCAGGAGGCGTGGCCTGACCCCAGCAAGGCCAGGGCCCTCCCAGTCACCCGAAGAGCTTGATAAAGCAAGGGTGGCAATAGGGCTTCTCGTTCTGCTCCTTGAAGGTGCCTTTGTTGAGCTGCTTGAGGCAGAAGGCACAGACAAAATGCTCCGGGTGGAACTTCCGGCCCATGGCGGTGATGCAACGGCCAGTGATGGGTTTCTCGCAGCCAGAACAGAGCGAGCCACGTTGCTTGTGGTAATGGATTTCACAGAAGGGCCGCCCCCCGTGCTCGAAGAAGCTGCCGTTCATGAAAGGGGTGTAGCATTCCTGGAACAGAGAACAGACCATAAGGGATTAAAGAAGGCCACCTCTACAGGTAGTCCTCAACTTACCAACCATTCGTTTTAGTGACTGAAGTGACAACTGGACAGAAAAAAGGGGACTTACACAATCAATCCTCTTGCTCATAGCCGTCACAGCATCCCCATGGTCACGCAATCAGAATTTGTGCACTTGTTATTTATATGATGGTTGCAGCATCCCAGGGGTAATGGGGTCACCATTAGGGACCGTCCCAGCTGACTTCCAACATGCGAAGACCGTGAGGGAAGCTGGATTCACTTAATAGCCGTACGGTTCACTTAAAAGCTGAAGTAATTCACTTAGCGACCATGGCAGAAGACATAAAATTGGGTGGAGCTCACTTAACAATTGCCTTGTTTAGTAATGGAAATGCTGGCCCCAATTTGGTCATGTTGAGGACAAATGGTGGTCATACGTCAAAAACAACCTGTAACAAGGCTACATATTTCCTTCCTGAATTGTCCCTTTTGTCTTAGCTGCTCTTGCCTTCTAGCAGTTCTGTGCACACACACACACTGGGAACAGGCTCCCCTTGTTCCTCTGCCTCGCTGCTGCCAGATTCTGGAGGCTCCGGAGTCAACACACAACTCCCAGATGGTCCTGGCCCCATCTCTGTATCGGGCAAGTCCTCTCTAGAATCCCGGACTGGTCCCTGTTCTTCCCCAATGTCTGATTCCACTGCCGTCTGCACAGGCTGCCGGCAAACCACAACAGGAAGCGTGGAAATCAGCTGTGCTGTGCGAATCAGATGAGCCAGAAAGAAGGAAATATAGGATAGGATCGGTGTGGGTGGGTGGGCGGGGCCAGCTGATGGTCGGAACTACCAGTTCGCTACTGGCAGCAGCCCAACAATGCCAGGCCGGTTCACAATCTGTGGGATTTGATTGCCTCCAAGTAAGGCTGGATCAGAAGCTGATTTTAGGCTGAACTATTAGAAGATGAAAAATGCTGGGATTTGTGCGCCAAGTAGACCCACACGACGTTCTTTATTTGTTCTTAACTTAATTTTTTGTTTAGTAAATATCTTAACTTGTTTTCCTAATTTGGGCAGATCTTTCATTAAAAAAAAAAAAAAAGTTCCTTGCCTTTTACCTTTACTAAGAGTCCATTTCTGCCAGATGGCATTTTCCCCCTTAATTTGTGCTGTGCATTCTGGTTTAGATGGCATTATGTACACATAGTCCTTGACTTACAATAGTTTGTTTAGTGACCGTTCAAAGTTACAACGGCACTGAAACAAGTGACTTAGGGCCATTTTTCACACTCAAGGCCATTGCAGCATCCCCAAGGTCACGTGATCAAAATTCAGGCACTTGGGAACTGACTCATATTTATGACGGTTGCAGTATCCCATGGTTCATGTCACCTCCTTTTGTGACCTTCTGACAACCAAAGTCAGTGGGGAAGCCAGATTCCCTTAACAACACTGACATGATTCACTTAACAACTGTAGCAAGGAAGGTCATAACATGGGGCAAAACTCATTTAAAAAATGTCTCACTTAGCAACAGACATTTTGGGCTCAAGTCAACCTACTGTACATCAAGATCTAGGTTCCCAGCTGTTTCAAGACTCAGCTATGGACTAGATCCGGGTGTGCTGGGTTTCAGTCACACCTTTAACGTCCCAAAATGAGGTTCTTGGAGGTATCATATTCCCCAATTTCAGAGCCGTCTTCAGCTGACACAAAGGAGTCGAGTTATTTTGCCAAGCTAAGAGAAACATAATAAGTAAAATCCTAGGTTGCTTTCAGGAGCTAGCACTGAACTGCTGTTTTCTTCCTCTTGCAAATGTCAGTATGATCAACGAAGCAACCATTTTTCTTCTTCTCACCCAACTCCTATCACCTTTGCAAGGGAGAGCCACAAGTAGATACATCAACAAATTCTCCCCCATGGAGAATTCCCCTGTCAATTGAAGCTAGGGCAAAATTAAAACTAAGACAATAAGACAGTGAGAGGAGAACCACAGCCAGTCAGTTTCATTTTCAGCTTGAGAACACAAAATGACTAAATATTCTCCTCTGAAAAGCCATTTCCCATCATTGGTTTTCTAGCCATCCTGACAAGATTGCACATAATCCAACCCTGGTCCAGAGCTGATGCTTACCCTGCAAACAAAACATTCTGGGTGCCACAAGGCGTTGAGAGCCGAGATGTAGTTCTCCAAGATGGCCTGGCTGCATCCTTGACAGCGAGTGGAGAAGAGCTCATAAAAGTCCTGGCGACAGTACTGCTTCCCGTCTTTCTCATGAAAGCCTGCAGGGGGAGACAAAAAGTCAATGGGAAAGGGACCAAAAATGGTGCAGTTCAGCGGCCATCTAAGGTAAATCAGTAGTACTGCACAAGGCCCAATTCAGAATTCTTTTGCAATGTTGAAGCTGTGGAAATTTAGTTAAGGACACCACAACTTTCTCCAACCAGCTCTCCAACTGAGATGGACCTCAAGCCATATAATGGGCAGCAGGCATTTGGGTGGGGACAATAGGAAATGAAATTTAAAAACCTTGAGGAGACCCTGGTTGGGAAGACTGGTTCTGTGGGCAACCAAAAGTCCATAAAGGCCAACAAGCACCATGATACTCAATTGAATATTTGTGTTGCATGCGAAAAAGATTGTTACCCAGTCATACATTGTACCCAACCTTCTTCATGACATCATTCCATTTCTGCCATTCTCCCTATGACTTTTGGAGCATAAAAGGATAAATTTTAAACATTGACACAAAAAAGAGACTTGCTCATGATTTAGTAGATACAACCACCTTATATCATCCCTCTCAGATTAGATCAAGACAGAAAACACAACTAAACAAGCTTTATTTATTTATGTAGCGTATGGTAGGGATCACCGTGGTGGCTGGCTGTTTCTGTGAAAGGAATTTTTTAGGGTGGTGTTATCTTTATTCGCGGGATGCCTAAATGCCAGTAGGCAATCAGAGGAGGCTCCTTTCTTGTCCCTCTGCGGTTTATTTGCTCACGGGAATTGAGCCGCCGAGCTGTCGACCTCAGCAGCACACAGACCCAACGTCTTACCACGTGAACCACCGCGGCCCCTACCACGGTTAATTCTACATTATTGCAAGATTCCATTTGAGAATTTAACAGGTCTGAAAGTACAGGTCTCCCACTGTCTCTTTTTCCAGCATGGTAAGAAGATTCTTTCTCTGCCTGTTACGTAGCTCCAGGTTCCCCCCTTTCTTATCTGATCATCCACTAGGCAGCCTTTCTTCCTCCTGTCTCCCAAGGTCTTTCCCACATACCATTATAGATAGTCCTTGGCTTACAACCATTCATTTAATGACTGTTTGAAGTCACAATGGCACTGAAAAAGTGACTTATGATTGTTTTTCACACTTACGGCCATTGCAGCATCCTCATAGTCACATGATCAAAATTCAGATGTTGGCAACTGACTCATCTTTATGAAGATTACAGTGTCCCAAGATCATGTGGTCCCCTTTTACGACCTTTGACCAGTAAAGTCCATGGGGAAGTCAGATTCACTTAAACCATGTTACTAACTTAACAACTGCAGTGATTCACTTAACAACTGTGGCAAGAAAGCTCATAAAATGGGGCAAAACTCACTTGACTGTCTCGGTTTGTCACATAAATTTTGATTGCGGTTATAAGTCGAGAACTACCTCAGGCAGTCCTTAACTAAAGACCATAATCCAGACACTGCAGTTCTAAAGTGAATGCGCAGTCATTAAGCAAACCAATGGTTCACTGTGGTGCAAAGTTTTCCCGAAAACCAGAACCAAGTACCAGTTTTCACCAAAACCATTGTAAAACACGATCACGCGACTGCAGGATGCTGCAAACCATGGTCAATGCAGCCATATTGCTCAGCTCCTGGAGCTTGGTCACGTGACCACAGAAGAGATCCTTTCCTAGGTTGGATGTAACTTTGGATGGTTGGTAAGCAACCGGTGATAAATCAAGGACTACCTATTACCCAGGTGAAGTCAATTCCTGGCAAAATTTTGAACCCCACTGAAAGATCCGGCTAGCTTCATCTAAAGCAGAGGTCTCCAAACTTGGCAACTTTAAGACTTGTGGACTTCTATGCTGGCTGAAGAATTCTGGGAGTTGAAGTCCACAAGTCTTAAAGTTGCCAAGTTTGGGGCCCCTGATCTAAAGAGTCCCAAACGGGATGGAACCGGTCAAAGTCAAAATGTCTCCCTGCCAGCCGCTGTACTAACCTTCCTCTCCAAAGGGACGCCTACACTTAACACAGCAGAAGTGCTCTGGGTGCCAATTCTTGTCCAGCGCAGTCACCATTTTCTGAATGGATCACAGGAAGGCCGAAGATGGGAGGGGAAAAAAAAACCACTTTGTCAGAAATGCGCTAAACATGGCTATTATTGCTGCTCTGCATTTCCCAGGGTTTACTTGCTCAGCCCTCTTTTTCAACCTCCTATGTTTCGACCCGTTCCTGCTCTATCACAGCTCCCTGTGAATTTCCCAGCAAATTTAAAATTCTAAACCTATTGTTTGCTGGTTGCTGGCATTTACTTCCAGTTCCCTGGCAAAAAAAATGCCAGAAAAAAAATAGAGTTTGCTTACAAACCTGTAGTGTTTCTTAAAGACTGCAGAGTTGGCTTAACGACCGTCACCAAAAAAAAAAAAAAAAAAAAAAGATGGTAAAATCAGGCACAGTTAGGTAAGTTTAGGATAACTCATTGCAGCCAACTGGCCATGGCCATTTTGCCACAGCCAACTCGCCATAAGGCAACTCGCTGGGGTTGTATTTTATTTTTTCTTTTGTACACTGAGAGCATATGCACCAAAGACAAATTCCTTGTGTGTCCAATCACACTTGGCCAATAAAGAATTCTATGCTATTCTATTCTGTTCTGTTCTATATTCTATTCATTTCTTATTCTATTCTATTCTATTCTATTCTATTCTATTCTATTCTATTCTATTCTATTC